ATGATGATGATGATGAAGATAGATATAGATAGATAGATAAAGATGATAGTATAATTGAAAATGGTATGTAAAAAATTATTTCCTTTCCTAAAAAAATAACAGCTATCCAGGAGGCAGAAATTGGAGGATGGAAGGTTGAGGTCAGGCTAATAAAAACAAAAATCACAACAACAAAAACCACTTTTTTTTTTTTTTGGCAAGACTCCCATCTGAAGCAATAGCTAGCTGTGGCAGTGGCACATTTGATCTCTCACTGAAGTGGGAAGAGCAAACTTGAAGGATTATGGGTCAAGCCAGCACAAGCACAAATGGAACTCATTCTTGAAAAATACCAGAAGTGGAAGGGACTGGCGGGTGTTATAGTGATACAATGCCTGCTTGCTAAGTTCAGGGTCCTAAGTTCACGTGCTGGTGCCACACACACATTGTGTGAGCACCTGTGATTCCACTTAGGAGATTATAACATTTTGTCATAGGTAGACACTAGTTTGGGTTAAGAAATAAAACAGAAACCATGGAAGCCCCATAGTCTGTCCCTGCCCTGGGCGTGTGTCACTCAGAGGCTGCTGCATTACTAGGGCAGGATGAGGCATACACAATTCTATAGAAGATTTTCTGTGACTCTAGTCTACTCTACTTTTCCTTTCGTTTTTGTTTTCGTGCAAGTACTGGGGCTTGAACTCAGGGCCGTGCACACTACCTTGGATTTTTTTTTCCCTCAAAGCTTTTGATCTACCACTTAAGCCACACCTCAGCTTCCAGGTTTTTGCTGGTTAATTGGTGATAATAGTCTTTCAGATTTGTCTGCTCAGACTGGTTTTGAACCTTGATCCTCAGATCTCAGCCTACTGAGTAGCTAGGTACCAGCTGCTTCTTTGATTTTCTTTTTCTTTTTTTGTCAGTTGTGGGGCTTGAACTCTGGGCCTGGGCGCCGTCCTAGCGCTCTTCAGCTCAAGGTGAGCGCTCTACAGCTTGAGCCACAGCACCTCTTCTTGTCTTCTAGTGGTTAATTGGAGATAAGAGTCTCATGGACTTTCCTGCCAGGGCTGGCTTTGAACCGCGATCCTCAGATCTCAGCCTCCTGAGTAGTTAGGATTACAGGCGTGAGCCACCAGTGCCCGGCGCCTCTTCAATTTTCTAATCACTGGTACCAGGCACTGGGATGTTAATTTGTTCTTATAGGTTTGTTTGTTTTTTCCAATTGGTTGGCTTGACTTGGGAAAATATTAAGAATTATGGCATCTATCACTAAGAACTGTTCAGTTTTTTGGTCTCCTTTGCCTGTTGCTCTGTATACCATACCATCATTTTTTTGTGTTTGTTTTTCTTATACCATAGGTTTTATCCTCTGGTTCACTGCATTTCTTTCTTGGTATTGATTTTCTCTCCACAGGACAGAATTAGGGATAGTGGATCCATTGTAGATCTTTTTGATTGTTTCATGTTTGTTTAATGTTGGTTGTTTTTTATTTTTTGTCAATCATGGAGCTTGAATTTGGGGCCTAGGCACTATTCCTGAGCTCCTTCTGCTAGTTCTTTGCCACTTTGAGCCACAGCACCACTTCTGGTTTTCTGGTGGTTACCTGCCTGGGCTGGCTTTGAACTTCGACCCTCAGATCTCAGCCTCCCGACTAGCTGGGATTACAGGAGTGAGCCACTGGCACCTAGCTTAATGTTTTTGAGATAGAGTCTCATTATGTAGCCCAGACCTTGAACTTGCCAACCTCCTGCCGCTTCCTACTAAGTGCTTGGATTACAAGCATGTATCACCTCCTGGCTAAGACATCTATATATTTTTTTAAATGTTTAAAATTTACCTTGAAATTTCAAAATTATCTTTAAATAGTTATACAAAGGGATTTCAGCTCAACATCCTAATCTGTGTCACTCCCTCTGTCCTTCTCCCCTATCTCCACCAACACCACCCATCCCCTCAGGTTACCTCGGTCTATTTTCACATCTGTACATTGAATTTTATCACCCTGCCTACCTTCTGACCGCATGTAAATAGGAATGCTTCTTTCTGTGGTTGTGTTGTAATGCCTGCTGCTGGTGGAAAGAGCCATCTCAGTTCTTCATTACTAGCTTGCATGGGTTTGTTATGAAACGGTTTTAGTTCATTTAGTTTTGTGCCAGTCCTGGGCCTTGAACTCAGGACCTGGGTACTGTCCCTGAGTTTTTTTCATTCAAGGCTAGCACTCTACCACTTGAACCATAGCTCCACTTCCAGCTTTTTAGTGGTAAGTGGAGATAAGAGTCTCACAGACTTTCTGGCCCTCGCTGGCTTCAAACTTCAATCCTCAGATTTCAGCCTCCTGAATAGCTAGGATTTACAGACATGAGCCACCGGTGAATGGATGAGAGTTCTATTTCTACGTTAATGCTGTAGAGACTTATCTGCTTTTGGAAAGGCAAAATGTCATCTTCTGCTCTTGTATTTTTTTATATTACTATGTTCTTTATGCTTGTTTTGTTTGTCTTCATAGACTCTTTGATTGGACATTAAATGTTTTAGCTTTAAACTTTCTTTTCTTCTTTCTCCCTTCCCTTCCCTTCTTTCTTTTTTGCTGGTCCTGGGGGCTTGAACTTTGGGCCTAGGTGCTGTCCCTGAGCTCTTTTGCTCAAGCTAGCACTCTACCACTTTGAGCCACAGCACAACTTCCAGTTATCTGGTAGTTAATTGGAGATAAGAGTCTTTTTTTGGGGGGGGAGGAGGGTCCGGTAATGGGGCCTGAACACTGGGCTTGGGCACTGTCCCTCAGCTCTTCAGCTAAAGGCTAGCGCTTTACCACTTGAGCCATAGCGCGGCTTCTGGCTTTTTTCTTTTTGCTTATGTGGTGCTGAGGAATCGAACCCAAGGCTTCAGGCATGCAAGGCAAGCAGTCTACCACTGAGCCACCTTCCCAGCCCGGGAGATAAGAGTCTTATAGACTTTCCTAACCCAGTTGGCTTTGAACCATGAATCTCAGATCTCAGCCTCCTGAGTAGTTGGGATTACAGGCGTGAGCACAGGCACCCAGGTTTTCCTTCTTTCTTGTGCCCATCCTGAGGCTTCAATCAGGGCCTGGCTGCTGTTCCTGGGCTTTTTTACTCATAATTCAAAGGAGGAAATCATAATGCAAATTGGCTTATAGACTGAGTTCAAGTAGTAATTAGAAGAAATTTTATGTTTTAAAAACATTTATTAAAAATTAGAAAGTTTTAAGCCAGGAGCTGGTGACTCATGCCTCTAATCCTAGCTACTCAGGAAGCTGAGATCCGAGGATGGCTATTTGAAGCCAGTTCAGACAGTAAAGTCTACAAGACTCTTATCTCCAATTCAACACTAAAAAGCTGGATCTGGAGCTGTGGTTCAAGTAGTACCATCCTTGAGCAGAAAAAGCCAAGCAAGAGCACAAGTCCCTGAGTTCAAGAAGCCCCAGTATCAACAGAGGCAAGGGAGGGGGGTGGGGTGGGGAAAGGGGGTTGGAAGACTAGAACAACAACACTTGTAATTGTTTTCAGAAAGGAGGGAAGTGGAAGACAGGGAGGTATTCTGGAGAGTCTGGGAAATGGATACATTGTATACATGTGTGACTATTTCCCAATGAGCCCTCCTGTACAGCTAATGTATGCTAATAAAAACAACCGATGTTTGTATTGCATTGGTTGCTCTGTGGTTGGCAACTGAGGTCCTGAAAACCTTATTCCATCCATCTGACTTCACCTGCTTCAGAGAATGCCTGCCCCACCAGGCCTTTGGAAGTCATTTATCATGTCCCACATACAGGCAGTTGCTCAATTCAATCATGTCCTTAGCATTCTTATCTAGGCATGTAGGGTTTAAAGTGGATTCAAATGTGGCAGTCCAGATCAGATTAAATCACCATTTTATATAGTGGATTAGCTAAGTCAGGAAAAAAATTCACTTCTGATAGTTCACTTTCTAGTACAAGGATTTTATTTCCAATCCCTTATTTGAGTATCAGATTCTGTCCTGGTCTCTTTCATTGCATATATTAGCACTGCAGGATAACTCACAGAAACAACCTCGATGTGAGAGAACAGGAAGTTTGTAAAATAAGGTTTCAGACTTTTTAAAGCTAAAAATTAAATTTTTATTAGGAGTTGTACAAAGGAGTTGCTATTCAACGTAGCAGTTTATAAGTAGAATGCATCTTGATCCCTGTCCCCCTTCCATCCTTCTCCTTTAACATTTTGGGCTCTGAATAGCCAGCATGGTATAGGCCCACGAGGACAGGCTGGAGGGACTCTTGTCTCCCATCTGGACTCTGAGTGCTTGGGACTGGTGGGTGACAGTGTGAGGGTGCTGAACTTAGATTTCTGTCCTGACTTCCCTTGTACTTATTGTGTGAACTGGAACAATTAGCAACTCCTTTGAGCGTTAGCTCGTCTCGATTTAAACACAAGGCTAAATCTGCTGAAACTGATTTTCCTGGCTGGGCACTGTGGCTCACACCTTTAATCCTAGCTACTCATGAGGCTGAGATCTGAGGCTCCCCTTTCAAACCAGTCCAGGCAGGGACATTCATGAGACTCCTATGTCCAATTAACTACCAAAAATACTGGAAGTGAGGGGGAAGATGGGAAGGGATGGGAAGGGGAAACAAGGGTGGAGGCAACAATGCTTGATAAGAAATATACTCATTACCTTGCTCATGTAATTGTAACCCCTCTGTATGGTATTTTCACAATAAAAAAATTGAAAAAATACTGGAAGTAGAAATGTGGCTGAAGTGGTAGAGTGCCACAAACTTGGGCTAAAAAACTAAGGGATAGCCCACAGGCCCTGAATTCAAGTCCCAACACACAGAAAGAGAGGGGGAGGGAGGGAGGAAGGAAAGGAGGGAAGGAGGGAGGGAGGTAGGAAAGAAGGAAAAACAAAAAGATTTATGCTGAACTTTCACTAGTCCTAATGATTAGGACCTTTGTCCTGTGGAGGGAATCTTGCATTACTGAAAGCATGCCCATCCCTTGCCTTAAATCCATGAAGTAACCCCTTCTGGTCAAAAAGAAAAAAGTCCTGGATACAGCTTTGTTCTGGGCCAATGCCCCAATCCTTTCATTTGTCTTCCTTGGGTCCACAGCACACATGGAGCAGAAGTAGAGTTGGAGGCCAGTGACTGAGGCTTGGCCAGGGGTCCTCAAGCAAGGCAGAGGCCACTTGTGTCCAACGGTCCCTGCCACCCTGCCGGCGTGGTCAGACTGCAAAGGCAGTATATGCAGGCAGCATGCTTCTTGGCAGACTGTTCCCAGTAGCAGTTTCCAAGTGGTTATGGCAAGCTACTCATGACACCCATGGGCTGAAGCATGTTGTCTTGAGGAACAAGTTGTCAGCTCCCTTGACCTTGACGTGGGTGTGCGCGCTCTCACTTCTGCATCAGTGCCTTGGCCAGATCGCCAGGTATTCTCCCAGCAAAGGCCCCGCCAGTGTACACGATAGAGATGTGTGGTTACTGACACTGGCATATTGTAACCCCAAAGAACCTAGAGTTGAGGAGATCCCAGCATGACTCAACTTCTACAGAATCTGACAGAGCTCAGGGCTCATCCCTCTTCCTGGCTGGGTCTTGGTACAGTGGAAGTGGAAACAGATGCTTCAGGCCGTCCACAAAGCCAGAATCTTGTCAAGTAGAAAGCAGAGGAATTGTGGATGGCCTGTGACTTCAGGGCTGTTGTGCTGAGGGGTTTCATCCAGAAAAGATAAGCCAGGGATGGATAAACCAAGAGTACGGTGGAGAGATGATGTACCCAAATGCACATTTCTGATGAAGTCATTCTCTTGTCTGCTAGAAAAACCAGCAACATAGTCTATTAAATCTTCAGTTTATACCATTGATACAACTAGCTATTATGCTTGTTTTGTATAAGTCTTACGTTGTATGTGTGTGTGTGCCACTCCTGTGGCTTGAATTCAGAGCCTGGACACTGTCCATTAGCTTTTTAACTCAAGGCCGGTGCTATAGCACTTGGGCCATAGCTCTACTTCCGACTTTTTGTTGGTGGTTAATTGGAGATAAGAGTCTCGTGGACTTTCCTACCTGGGCTGTCTTTGAATCATGATCATCAGTGCTTAGGCTCCTGAACAGCTAGTGAGACACCAGTGCTCAACGGAAAAGCTTTTAAGGACCTATTGCATCACTCAACTAAAGAGATAGATACTAAGAAGACAGAGTCCCGGGGCTTACACTTTACACTCAGGGCATGGGTTCTGTCTCTGAGCTTCTTTTGGTAAAGGTTAGTGTTTTAACCGCATGTGCCACAGCTCTACCTCTGGCTTTTTTGATAGTTTATTAGAGATAAGAGTTTCACAGGCTTTCTTGTCTGGGCTGGCTTTGAACATGATTCGCAGATCTCAGCCTCCTGAGTAGTAGGGTTACAGGCGTGAGCCATCAGTGCCCTGGTTGAGAAATAGTTTTAGGGGCTGGGAAGGTGGCTCAGTGGTACAGCGCTTGCCTTGCATGCCTGAGGCCCTGGGTTTGATTCCTCAGCACCACATAAGCAAAAAGAAAAAAGCCGGAAATGGCGCTGTGGCTCAAGTGGTAGAGCGCTAGCCTTGAGCTGAAGAGCTGAGGGACAGTGCCCAGGCCCAGAGTTCAGGCCCCACGACTGGACCCCCCCAAAAAAAAATATATATAAAAGAAATAGTTTTAATGGTTCTTGTTTTTTGGTGTGGTTTTTTTTAAGGTCTTTCTGTATTTCTACATCTATCTTGGACTCCTTCCCAGGCTGGATATCACAAGAAAGGCTTGTTAGGTTTAGAACTGTTTAGATACTTTTTACAAATATTGAATACATTAGAAGTAGAAGTCAACTCAAACCCTGACACTACAGAGGACAAGGCTTCCTGTGCTGTCTGGGATCACACACACCAAGTCTGCTCTCAATGAGCTCAGAAGAAGGAATGTTCTAAGGGCTACTGATTTATTCCCTCCTGGCTGACAGAACACCAATAAAGTTGAAATATTATTGTCAGCCCTGTATTTGTCTGTGTGCTAGACAAACACTTGTGACACTGCAGACATAAACCAGGACCTTCTGGGTTGCTAAGAAGATTTAAGTTATTTACGAGAGCTGAATTTTCTCCCAGCAAGGGTTGTAGAAGTTGAATTCTGAAGGACTGAAATGTGGTATCAGCTGCTTCTTTTTTGAAGAAGTTTTCTGTTACAACTTGGAGCATTATAAACTCTGACAATTATCTTCCAAAAATAACAGGCAAAATCTTGCATCCACATGCTAGTATGTAGTCAGAAAATATCACCAACAAATTTATGATCCTGCTGGGCGCTAGAGGCTCCCACCTGGAATCCTAGTTACTCAAGGAGCTGAGATCTGAGGATTGCAGTTCGAAGCTAGCCCAGGCAGAAAAGTCCATGAGACTATCATCTCCAATTAAGCAGAAAAAAAAAAACTGGAAATGAAGCTATGGCTCTAGGGGTAGAATGTCAAGCTGGAGTGAAAAAGCAAAATAAAGGTGTGAGACTCTGAGATCAAGTGCCAGGATGGGCTTTAAAAAAAGGAAGAAAGGCAGGCAGGAAAGAGGGAAGGAAATTGAAGAAAAGGAAAAGAAGGGAGAGGAAAAGAAAAGAAAAAAAAGGCAGGGAAAGAAAAGGAAAGGAAAAATGGAAAGAGAAGAGAAGATCTGGTCTTACAATCTAGGGGCCTGAGGTCCAAAAAGGTCAAGGTGCTGGAAGGTCCTGGCTTGCCTGCAGGGAAGAATTTGTCTTTAGGGTCTCCTAGTTCCATGGTTTGGCGCAGCTTATTTCTAATTGTTACATGACGTGCTCTCCGGTGGTTTTTTTTTCCTTTTCTTTTCTTCTTAGTAAGGACAAAGTCCTATTGGATTAGAGCCTACCATCATGACTTCATCCTAATTTTATCATCTGAAAATCTGGCCATCTTCACAGGCCTGAAGGATTAGCCCATCAACACTTTTCCTTTGCAGGAGAGAACACAGTTGGAACATCACAGATATGTTTGTGCAACTGCAGTGACCTGAGATCAAGCACTGGTTTCTGACAAAGAGAAATTCCACAAAACCGATGAAAGTAAAAGATGAAAAATTGTTTATACTTTCTTCTTTTTTATTTGGTGCCGACTTATTTTAGAAGGTTTTCTATTAGCATCTTTTAATAGTATCTGGGGGTTCACTGTGAGAATTCCACAGATGCATGGTAGTTCACAGTGAGCTTGGAACAAGTTTACTCTATTAATCCCTCAAGCTCCTCCTCCCCTCCCCCGCTTCTCCACACAGTGTTTGGTGGGTTTCATCATGTTATCATTATATATATACATATATGCATGCACACACATACATATGTACAGGTATATGTGCATATGCAGATATACATACATTTACCTATACATTATACCTATGTACATATATACATATACACATATACTTAGGCCATAGGAAGATCTAGGAGCAGGATGTTTCTCCATCTGCAGAAAAGCCAAGAAACTTGGGAGGGAGGAAGGGAGCCAGGTAGAAGAGGACGAGGGAGCTGTCACCCAAGGCACTGAGTTGCCATGCCTTACTTAGAACACAAAGAACAATATCATTTGCAGGTAGTTGTTGATAGCTCCAGGCATCCAGTTTATAAAGATACAAATCTTCATTATTAATGCTGGGGATAAAACACAACTGTCCTAAAGTTAGGAAATTCAAGTGGATTGTTTGCTGGGCTCCCATCAACATAAAAAGGTCATTCTGCAAACTCTAGCTAGACTGACCAGCTCCAGCATGGTGACAGCCCTTCCTTCCTAGACATGCCAGCTAACACATGTGGCAGAGAGACCCTGGGTACCTGGGGGAGAGATGCCTGTGGCAGCCCTGTGAGCTGTCCAGGCTTGGCCACAGTGGCTTTTGTGAAACACAGTCAACACATGCTTCATAAGGTGATTGTCAAATTGAGCCTTGGTGTCTTACACCCATAATCCTAGCTACTCAGGAGGCTGAGATTTAAGGATCAAGGTGCAAAGTCAGCCCAGGCAGTAAAGCCTGTGAGACTCTTATCTCCAAGAAAGCACCAAAAAGTCATTAAATGGAGCTGTGGCTCAAGTGGTAGAGTGCCAGCCTTGAATGAAAGAGCCCAGGAACAGTACCTAGGCTCTGAGTTTAAGCCCTAGAACCAGCACAAAACAAAGCAAAGCAAAAATTCAACTCTGTATGTGGTACAAATAGCAATATGTCTTAGGAAAAAGATCCACACTCAGTTTCTATGGGATTTGCAATCAAAGTATTCTCCAAGGCCATGTGCTCTCTTCCATGATCCTAGCTACTCAGGAGGCTGAGATCTAAAGATTGTGTCCCAAAGCCAGCCCAGGCTAGCAAGAAAATCAGCGATATTTTGATCTCCAACTAACCACCAGAAAACTGGAAGTGGAGCTATGGTTCAAAGGGGTAGAGCACTGGCCTTGAGCAAAAAAGAACTCAGGGACAGCACCCAAACCCTGAGTTCAAGCCCCACGACTGACCAGAAGAAAAATTCTCTAAATTTCAGGAAGCTAGTGTGGATTCCTGTACATTGTGAGTATTTATGAACTCACATCAGTATCTGATGTATGCACAAGATGTTAGTCATCTTGATTATATATTTGTGGTTCCCCTAACTCTAAGAATTAAAGAATATGGATACAAGTTGGACACTAGTGGCTTACACCTAGAATCTTAGCTACTCAAGAGTCGGAGACTTAGAGGATTAAGGTTCAAAGTCAGTCAAAGCAGGAAAATCCATGAGACTTTTATCTTCAATTAACCAGCAAAAAGCTGGACTGGAGGCACGACAGAACACTAGCCATGAGCAAGCAAGTTGAGAACTCAGGGGCTTGAGGTCCAATTGTAATAATGACAAAGATAATTGAATAAATATACACACATACATGAGATTAGCATGCCTCAGGGACTGAAGATGTGCCACCTGTGGTACAGCACTTGTCTAGCATTTACCAGACCCTAAGTCTGATTCTCAACATTGGAAAAAGTATTGTCCTGTAAGGCTTTCAAACTGATAAAATTTCCTTAATTTTGGAGTTGTTTCTAACAGTACATGTAAGGAATGATATAGTACTGGCTTTCAACTTGAGACAGAGCTGCTATATTATTATTATTATTAATTTTTGGAGACAGGCTGGCCTGGAACTTGTGTTGAAACTGAAGTTGGCCTCAAATGCACAATCTTCCTGTTCTAGCCTCCAAAGTGCTGGACTGACAATTGTATACGATCATGCCCAGTTTAACTTGAGATATATTCTTATGTTCTAAAAAAATCAATTCTCACTAGGCACTGGTGGCTCACACCTGTAATCCTAGCTACTCAGGAGGCTGAGATCTGTGGATCATGGCTTGCAGCCAGCCCAGGCAGGAAAGTGCATGAGACCCTTATCTCCAATTAACTACAAAATTAAAAAATGTTGGAGGTAGACCTGTGGTTCAAGTGGTAGAGCACTAGCCTTGAGAAAAATGCTCAGACACAGGCCCTGAGTTCAAGCCCCAGGAACTTTCTTCCCAGGCTGGATGGAATCATGTTCCTTCTGCCCTGAGGCTCCTGTGTAGCCTGAATGACAGACAGGCATGTGCCACCATGGCCAGCTATGGGTTGACTTCAAATCATAATCCTCCTGATCTCAGCCTCCCAAGTAGCTCAGATTACAGGCATCCATTTCTGTTTCCTGGTCTTTTGGTGGATTCCAGTCATGATCAGCAATGCTGGATAGGGCAGATATTTATGCCCTCATTTTAATCTAGAAGTCATACCACACATCCTTATTGAATCATTGAATCATTTCTCAATTCTGGCCAGAGCACAGGTAACAACTAATATTATGCTTACAATGATCAAATATTACTATAATAAATAATTGTATCTAAATAATTAAATATTATTTATGTAAATGGACCTTGTGATTTGGAACAGCAACCACTTCAAACCAACTTCAGAACTTGACTTTTATTTTCCAATGAAGAAAACTGACAAAAATAATTTTGTGTGTTTCTTACCCTAGTAACTTAGTACTGTGAAATGCCTGCTAGCGGAGAATCATCCGCCCTCCTCTCCACAGTTCTTCCAGGTTGGTTTTCTAGACCAGGAAGTTCTAGGCTATCAGACAAACCATTAATCTTCCTCAGAAGCTCATCGATCAGAAGTGAACATTCATCCAGGTAGTAATTCTAAAAGACAGGAAGTGAGGTTAATACATGCAATTGGGGCAGAAGCAAGGTGGGGGAAGCTTCTCTCCTTTCCTTGTTATTTGAAGCACTTAGGGGGTATAGACTTTGGAAAGATGGCTGTGCGATGTGAGAAACACACTGGACCCGAGGCCAGAGGGGGACACACAAAACTGCTATGGTTAATGATAGCAATCTGAAATCAAGACCCCTTAAAGATAACATGCCTGTAATTCTAGCTACTCAGGATGCAGAAACCTGAGTACTGTGGTTCAAAGCCAGCCCTGACAGGAAAAGTCCATGAGTCTCTTATCTCCAATTAACCACCAGAAAACTGGAAATGGCACTGTGGCTCAAGTGGTAGAGCTGAGGAGCTGAGGGACAGCGCCCAGGCCCAGAGTTCATGCCCCATGACCAAAAAAAAAAAAAAAAAAAAAAAAAAGAAAGAAAAAATAACGTAGCAGTTTGAAGAAATAAATCAATAATGAATACACAATAATATCAGTAATGACTGAATTGCGTTAAGGGTAGGGAAAGCAGGTGTCACATGCAGAATGACAGGATCACAGGTGACAGGCAGGTCTCAGAACTTCCCTGAGGGATGGGTGACCATCAGCCATGCATGACAGTTGAATATTCTGAGAGCCAGTGCCTGCTTAACACTCTTGCTTTCACAACTGGGGTGACCTGCACCGTGTTCAGGGCAGAAGTTGAGTCTAGTAGCAGGTACAAAAAATAAACAACTAATGCTACAGGGGACAGTCTATGCTGTATGTGTGACACTAGTGCGTACGCCTGCACCTGCTGGAGAAGACCAGAAACAGCATCCTTTCAACAGCACAGGATAATTATAAAGATATACTGTATTGCAAGCTAGGCACCAGTGGCACACATCTGTAATTCCAGCTACTCAGGAGGCTGAGATCTGAGGATCGTGGTTTGAAACCAGCCTGATTAGAGAAATACATGAGACTCTTATAACCAATTAACCATCCAAAGCCAGAAATGCATCTGTGGCTCAAGTGGTAGAGTACTATCCTTGAGTGAGACAGTAGCGTGAGATGCCAGGCCCTGAGTTCAAGCCTCAGTACTGGCACAAAAGAATTGAGGGAGGAAAATGTACTTGGAGCCTTCTCAAGTGCTTTAGCGGGACAAGGGGAGATTCTCTGGTTGAGAATTAATTAGGAGTCTTGGCAGTGGTACTGGGTGCCCAACTACAGTGATGCTTTGGTCAAGCCAGATTCTGCGAGAAACCTTATCCCAACTGTGCTACTGTGCTCATGGCTCCAAGTGCCCACACTTACATGCTCTCCAGTCTCCTCAGTCTCTTCCACCTTTGGCTTTTCCAGCCCTAGCAAGGTCTGCACCTCCTTCCACACATGAGCAGCAACATCTTTAAGTGTCACAAGAGATTGACGGTGTGGAGATTTTCTTTTTCGGAAAAAGATCTGGAAGCAAGAACTTAGCTGGAGAAGAGAAGAAGACAAGTTCTGTATTATAAACTTAAAAAAATGGCTTTGTTAACCTAATGATTTATGAGATGGAGATGCATGGGATGCTGCTATTTTATGGGGTTTTAAATTAATTGAATTGAGCTATATTGCAGCCAGTTGAACTGCACAATGGAAAATAATCTTATTATTGAGACTGTTTCCAGTATCGAGTGGAAGTACATCTCCACATCTCTGATTCAGTGTCCCCTGGTGAGCCACCTCTGGCTGTGGGTGGACTCTCATTGAAGCAAGTGTTGTGCCTGGGAGTTATATAGAAAGGGGTCAGGGGCCCAGCAGGCTATTGTACTGAATGATCCAACAATGGCTACAGGATATTAGTCCCTAGGTTGAAGCTGAAATCTGTGAGCCCAAAAGCCTTCAAGGTTGCTGGGTGTATTGTCCCATACCTCTAATCCCAGATTCTCAGGAAGAGATTGGATGCACCGTGTTTTGTGGCCAGCCTTGGCAAAAAGTTCATTAGATTCCATGCTTCAACAAACCAGATATGGTGGTTCATATCTGTAATCCCAGACACCCAGGAAGTAAAAATAGGAGGAACACAGTCCAGGCTAGCCTTGGGCAAATTATGGAAGACTTTATGTGCAAAATATTATCTGGGTGCTGATGGCTCACATCTGTCATCCTAGCTGCTCAAGAGGCTGATATTTGAGGATCTGGGTCAAACCAAGCTGGGGCAGGAAAGTTTGGGAGACTCTTATCTCTAGTGAACCACCAAAAAGCCAGAAGTGGAGCTGTGACTCAAGTGGTAGAGCTCAAGCCTTGAGCCAAAAATCTTAGAGACAGCACCCAGGCCCTGATTTCAAGCCCTAGGACTGGCACAAAACAAAACAAAAGAAAAAATGTCAAGTGTAAAACAACACTGAAAATTGTAGAAGAAACCAAAGGAGAAAATATGTGTGGCTTTAAGTTTGGCTGATAAGTTTTTAGATGTGATTCCACAGGTCAGGGGTCCAGGTGGACGCCATGTAGGAGGTAGACTCCCAGGGGACTTTCTGGACATATGACAGAGGACTCACTACAACAGCAGACGAAACTTGCACAAATCTTGACTTCAAAGTCTTGACCTTGTCTACATACCATTCTGAACGACATGGTGGCCATCAGTAGGAAGAATGCCACACAGAAGCAAGCTGTGGATCTCCGGCCGGCCTCTGGGAGGCTGTGGAAGAAATCCTTCTGGTTTCTTCCCAGAAAATGAAAAGGCAGCCTACGGATGGGGTCTGCAGAGGGATTAGATGGCAGCACCCAGGTGAAGAGCAGAAACGAGAGCAGGTGGAAGTGGGCAGCCAGTAATAGGACTCCAGCCAGCTGCAGGGAGAAGGCCCACCACATTGACACCTCTTCTTAGGATGGAAGATTCCTTTGGAGATCTGGATGCTTTTAAGAAACACTTACAGAAGGAGCATTTGGAGTGTGGCCCATGCCTTCCCTGGTTTAAGAACTAGTGCCCCAAAGATCAGTCTTCATGCCTGAAGCCCTCCCAGGCCTCTGCTCCAGATGTACCCCACTCCCCACCTCACATTCTGCTGCTGGGCAGCTTCCTGCCTCCCTACTGCAGGCACACAGGGCTCTTCCGACAGCTTTCTAGTTCCCCTATTGGCCAGGCCACACACATGGCCTGTGATTGATGCCTAGCTATAATTGGCCATCTCTCTGTGCCTTGCCATCAGTGGCATCCCCTGTCCCCACCTCTAGCCTTCCTTCCTAAAATGCTTATCCACAATGCCATGGTTCTCCTGTGAAAACCCATTGCTACTGGGAAGAGAGGGTACGTGTGTGTGTGTGTGTGTGTGTGTGTGTGTGTGTGTGTGTGTATGTGTTCCTTAAGTCCAACACTTAGCAAAGGCTAGGGGAAACCAAAGGCCCATTGTGAGGTAAATCGCGTCCCATGCAGCGCTTGGTCCCAGCTGTTCTTGAAGGGAACTTGGCTGGAAGTGTTTTGTCACTGATTGCCTTTCATTTTCACCTTAGTCCCTCAAATGGCTCTAGAGCTCACAGGCACACTTTCCAGCCTGGATGATGGACAAGCATCTGGTTCTCCATCATAGTCACATGTTGTGTGTGCAAGCAGGCCCTCGTGGCCTCTGCTGTCATCCTGGCCCTGTCCTCTTCCCAGTTCATACCCTAGGATTCATTCTGCTACTTTTTTTCCTTGGCAAGTAGAGTCTCATGACTGTGTGCACAGGGCTGTATCTCAGCAAACTACGCTGGATGGCCTGCCCAGTACCTGGAATGACTGCTAACTGGAGAGACCCGCAAGGGGCCCCCACAGCTTTCTTGGTGCTCAAAGAATGTTCATCAGTGATAACCCCTTACATTAGTGATAATGATATACAGAGTAAGTGTTAGATTCTTAAGTCCTGGTGACTGTGGCCATCCCATCATTTATTGTACAAATAGTATTACCAGCAATCTAAAACCACCACATAATGGATCGGAGGACTGTAATTCTGCATGGTGCTACACCTTGCTTTTCTCTAACTAATGAGAGTGTGCCAATGTATAGTTTGACCATGGAAATCATTATCCATTTCTTACCACTGGGGCAAAGACTCTGATGACAAACAGGCACATCCTGGAAGAGCAGGACACCATTTTGTTCAGAAAGCCAAGAGCATGAATGCATTTCCACATCCAGAAGAAGGAGAGGAGTCCTTGGAGCCACTGCACCCTCTGAGACAGAAGAACACAGCACATCGTTTTGTAGGCCAATGGTTAAGAAGGTACAGAAACGTGTGTGGGCCTGGATTCATTGACTGATAGAACTACATAGACCAAGAATCTCCCGGGGACACCCAGTGCCAATGTCTGTAGAGGAGAATGGATAGGAACCAGGAGTAAATTCAGACTCAAGTGCATCTTCCAGAAGGCTTCATGTGAGTCCTGGCCTTGCCATCTCTGTGATGATCTAGTCATTTTTTCCTCCAAACAACCTGTTATGCTATAGGGAAGTGATCATGGGGTTGGGGAGAGAATGTGCAGTGTGTTCTCTTTATGAATGGAATAGGTAAGGAGCTGCCAATGGTTTCCATTGGTTTAAATAATTCAGTCCTTATAAAAACAACATGTTTCAGGAATCAATGACTCAGATAAAGAGATGGGACAAAGGCAACAGCTGGGGATGTGGCAGATGTAGGTCCAACCCATGCCTCTCCTCCCCACTTAGCCTCTTGGCAGGGTGTTCACCTGCTAAAGGGCTCACTGAGAAATGCATTCAGGGACACAGTCTAATCCATTGTCACCAAGACCATGAGCCAAAGAGAAAGAAATGACAGCTGTATGTTTAAAAAACCCACATGGAGCTGGGAACTGGTGATTCAAGTCTGTAATCCTAGCTACTCTGCCTAGGCTGAGATTTGAGGAGCCCGGTTCAAAGCCAGCCTGGACAGACCGATCTGAGAGACTCTTTATTGCCAATTAACTAGCAAAAAGCTGGTAATAGAAATGTGACTCAGTGGCCGGGCACCAGTGGCTCACGCCTGTAATCCTAGCTACTCAGGAGGCTGAGATCTGAGAATCACGGTTCAAAGCCAGCCCGGGCAGGAAAGACCGTGAGACTCCTATCTCCAATAAACCACTAGAAAAAACCGGAAGTGGCGCTGTAGCACAAGTGGTAGAGTGCTCGCCTTGAGCTGAAGAGCTGAGGGACAGCGCCCAGGCCCAGAGTTCAAGCCCCATGACCGACAAAACAAAACAAAACAAAAGAAATGTGACTCAGTGATAGAGCATTATAGCCTTGAGGGGAAAAAAAACGCCAAGGAGAGTGCAAAGCCCTACGCCCCAGTATTGTACACAAAAAAATGCTAAAAATAAAAAAAGGGACAGCATCCAAGACACAGAGCATCTAGACACCTAGTCCCTGTTGTGGGCAAGATATGTACTCTCTTCCTCTATGATGAGAGTACTTCCCTGGAATCTTAGGCTTGGCAATGCATTCCAAACTTACTTCTGGCAGGGGAATGCCATTATTAATAGATAGAAGAGGAGTGATGTGTACAGACATTTCCTGGGTTCATGCCCAGCCTCAGGACTGACCCACGAGGCCTGGCTCAGCTCCAGTCTAAGGAGCGGCAGGTGTAGGCTTCCTTGTGCAAGGCTGTTTCCCCTTGCCCAGAAAAGCCCAGAAAGCTGCTCCTAAAGCTGTAGTTCCAGTAACAACTTGCAAAAGGAAGATTTTATATTATTGTTGTTGTTATTGTTTTGGTACCAGCCCTGGGGCTTGAACTCAGGGCTTGGGCACTGTTCCTGAGCTTTTGTGCTACCAGCTGAGCCACAGTTCCACTTCCAGCTTCGTTTTTTTGTAGTTCATTGGAGATAAAAGTCTCATGGTGGGAGGGGGTGGGGGGCTGGGAAGGTGGCTCAGTGGTAGAGCGCTTGCCTTGCATGCCTGAAGCCCTGGGTTCGATTCCTCAGCACCACATAAGCAAAAAGAAAAAAGCCGGAAGTGGCACTGTGGCTCAAGTGGTAG